AATGTAATAACAATTGAGCTCACTCGAGGGCAGAAATAATGAGGCATCCCCAGAACTTGCTGCAAGCTTCTCAATTCCCCTTAAAAGCGAGTCTGCAGTAGAGGTGAAAGCAGCATAGGTTGGTAAAGAGCTCCAGGGCAGTGGCTAAATCATAGGCCCCCAGGCCCAAACTCTTGGGTTCCAGCTTTTTTCATCTAAGCTGAGTGCACCTGGGAAGTCCTCAATCCCCTCATTTGCAAATAGGAAACAATACTATGTGATTCACGGGAGTGTGAATATGAACTATCGTGTCGATAATGAAAGCACTTTTTAAACTGGAAAATGCTGATCAAATAGGAGCCACTGTTGTCCAGATTTATTTCTTTAGGTAACTACTGGGTAAAAAGTCACATAAATTAGTCACCTAAGCAATGAAAGACAGATTTCTAAGGTACTTCCTCCTGACACTAAGTAGTGACTGTATTATTTTTAGTAGTTAATACTGATTCATTGCATTCAGTGTCCACGTTATTCATACACAAAAGGTGAATCCCCCCTACCACCACCACATACACATCCAAAAACCACATTTTTAAAATTATTATTTCTTTTTAGAAAGAGACTTTTGCTTTAGGGCATGTGCACTTAGCAGAGAGACAGAGACAGAAAACAAGAAACCACCTTCCGGAGCGGATAAACACGTGGCAATCACTTCTCCTCCATTCTCCTCTCAGGTTCTTGAGCATGCACACACACACAGCATGAGTTTTAAGTCTCTGGGTACAGGACTCAAACTATGGTCAGCTACATGGGAGCCCAGTGACGTAACCATTATGCCATCTGCCAGTCCCCAAAACCATATTTTTAAAATAGTTTTCATTAACTTGTTATTTTTCCTAAGCAAGAGAAACAGGGAGAGAGAGAAAAAAAGACAGACAGACAGTATCTTAAGTAGGGTCTTGATGCAATGATTCAACCCCAGGTTTAGCCAGCTCCAGATCCTGGGCATGCATGTGCCCAGCCTGCTTCGAGAGGTCTTCGGACTAAAAACCGAAATCTTTCCATGAAGATCAGCCTTGCAAGGCATTGCATTATTTATTTCTAGCCATTGCCTAACCCCCAGGAAAAGCATTTTTTTGTTTGTTTGTTTTTTTGTTTTGTAGCCAATTGATTTTATTCTAGTTTGCTTAGTGGACTTTACTTATAATAGCTTAATTAATTTAATATGTTTTCATTTAAGGGCACTTCTATTTTTCCTTGTGGACAGTAATAGTATCACCTTCCAAGTATACATCCAAGTATACACTGTACTACTTTTAAAAAAGTTCTTAAAAATTTTTTTTTCTAGGCCAGCTGATGGTAAAGTGGTTATGAGGTCTGGGTCCCCACATGCCTGACTACACAGTTAATGTTCCAGACTCAGCAGCTTGAAAAACAGGCCAGGCACATGTTTGCATGCATGCCCAAAATCCTGAGAAAAGCATGGATGAGAAGGGATTGCAGCATGGCCATCCTCCCTGGGGATGCTTTCTCACTTTTTATCTCTTTCCC